GGTTTGGGCCAGATGAGATCATTTTTGGTTGTTTTGGGAGGGGTCTACACCAACGTGACCACATCTGGCCCAAACCCATGGTTCTTGGCCCAGAGCCATGGGTTTGGGCCAGATGTGGTAACTTTTGGTTTTAAATCTCCCAAAACACACAAAAATTACCAACATCTGGCCCAAACCCAGGTTCTCGGGCCCAGAACCTGGGTTTGGGCCAGATGTGGTACTTTTTGGGTGTTTTGGGAGGGAACCCAAGAAAATAGGTTGAGCACTGAATCACTGACCGCTGCACGGCTTCATGCTGCCTGCGTTGCCCGCCCCTTAAATATATGTAGATGTGGGTGTATGTGCATGTATGTGCCCATACTACGTTTGCATACACAGATATGGGCAGCGTAACTGAAAACAGCACCTTCTTTTGGCAGCTGTCCTTATACTCCTGCTGCTGCATATATCCCAGGCGCGCGGAAAAACTGATACCTGGATCTTCTTCTGCAGTTGATTCCTAAGCGGTTCGGCGTCAAATAAGATTGGTGTGTTTTAAGGCCTTAGTAAGCAAGGCTCACTAGAGCAAGCGTACTACTTAACAGCCCAGTCTCTGAAGGCGTACGCACCACAGCCTCCGATTCCCCTCCACCACATAGAGCTCGTCGTGGAACCAAACGGCCATAGGCTTTAGGCTAGCAATGGTTTCCTGATGGCAGGGATCAAGGACTTGGGGCTTAGATATGGTGCTCGAGGCGCAAAGTTTCAAGGCATGTTAGGCTGACGTAGGCTTCAGGGCCTTTCCACTGATGAGCTTGTCGACCAAGTCTTTAAGCTTCATGTCGGGATGGGGGCCATTCTCGATGACGTCGACGATCTGGGCTTTGGTATAGTGAAGAGTCTCACCTGGATAGCATCGCACGAACAAGGCCACAACGAGCTTCCCACTTTAAGAAAACCCCCTTTGTTGAGGCTCCATCCCTCTTCTGACCCCCAAACCCCAAGCCCTGTCAGGTGCCTCCAGGATGTCAGGATCAACCTCACCTGCCCATCATCGCGGGCGACATCCTCATCTTTATGCCGCCGGTCGTCGAGAACCTGTCCAGGGCCCCCCCCCGCTTTTCATGGCTTCTTAACCTGTCCCCTAGAAAGCCTAGTGTAACCCCTAGCTGATCATGAGAGGGATCCGCGTATGTCTGGCTTTTGAACAGCATTTCCAATTAAAGAAGCCAGAGATCTGTCTTCTAAACTAGAATATGCAGGGCTTACGCGGTAAACAAAACGGATGCCTCGTTTGTTGGGCATCCTCGTGCTGAAGTAGCAACCATAAGGAGCCTACCGCTTTCACAGAGACCCAACGCATTGCCACTCATAACACCACATCTCTTTCTCAAATGCTGGTCTCGCTGGCCTCGCTATTTTTGAAATCTCAAGGTCAACATCAAAACCAGCAGAATGCTAGGGCAGAGCACCGCAAAGAGAACGTGAACGCATGTCAAAACATGAAACGTATATGGCGAGCATTTGCTGATTTGCAGGAGATTCATGTTTCCATCCGCTTCCATCCACCTAGAATGACCCTGCATATGGGAGCCCTACAGCCCTGAAGGCCTCTACCACCAAAATGCCGGCAGGATGAGCGCGATGACAGAGGAGAAGAGCTGCTTCACACGAGCTCGCAAACCTAATTGGGGCTGTGGCTTTCCAGAAAACCCCCAGCTACCCTCGCTAGCTAAGTAACCGCTACTATGGAAGGATATATTAGATGGTCTAGGTACGGCGTGGGGCCTTCAGTAACCTAGCCACAAAGCAGCACAATGTCTTCAAGCATAGCATGACTCATCCTGCTAAAGCACGTGTGCATCGACGGACTACTTGTAACCAAGAACCCCGTCAGAATCCGGTCACCTACTGTCATAAATGGAGAAAAGTTATGTATGATTCGATCGCGAAATGCGGAAGCGTACCTGTATCCAAGCCACAAAACAACTTTTCCTGGGCTCTGTCTGCTGGGTTCTCCATGCTCAGGTTGTCCAACGCGTACAAACCCAGCTACCAACCTAAGATGCTTCTGCGGAATAACATCCCGAATTCTTAGCCTCCAAGCGTACAATGTAGCCCATTCCTTTTTGCACCTGCCCGGCCCAAAACAAACAGCGTTGGGCAGTTAGAGCCAAGTGGCGGAATCCCAAGAACGGAATCTTGGCATTATCCCTATATAACCCCTATATATACCCTCAACCCAGGGGTTTAGGGTATTTAGGGGTTTGGGGTTTAGGGTTTAGGGTTTAGGGCGGGATATTACCCCAATAATGGAGAATCAAATGGAAAAGAAAATGGAAAATGAAATGGAAACTGGGATTATATAGGGGTTGTTTGAATAAATATTATTGTAGGTTTTCGGCTTTAGGATTTGGGGTTTAGGTCTTAGGGTTTAGGGCGGGTGTGTAGAGTTTGGCTGTGGAGGGGGCGAGGTGGGGCAACAGCAGTAGTAATGATACTGACTGGTAATGCTAACAGCAACAACAAGAACAGCAATTGTATGCAGTTGTGGTGGCTACACAGAAGCACAAAGCAATAGTAGTAATTATTGTAATAGTATTGAGACTGCGCGGATGATCAGCCGAGGAGTCTCTTTTATGGTTTCATACATGGTTTCGATGCTCTTTGCATTCATTTCTTCATGCATTTTCAATATGCCATGCGTTTCCTGTGTTCTTTACCTGCAAGAAACTGACCTACAAGCCCCAAATAGCTGAACACAAGAAGTCTAAAAGATTAAACAATCCATAAGTTCATGTTATTCATTATGTCATTTGTATTGTTTGTGGTCCCAAAGAATGTCTGGCAGGCCCCAAATAGCTAAACCCCCAAAAGAACATTAAGTAGTCCGTCAAGACAGACATGCAAGATCTATAGATGTCTTATGTTTTTCTCCGCTGTTTTCAGGGTTTGGTCATGTTTCATCTGGGATTTGGACCTGTTGTACTCCCAAAAATCTCCAGGCCCCAAATAGGTGAGCCCATGGAAAAAACGGTCACAACAAACAATTAAAACAACAATCCATACCTATAAACGTATGAATCTTTATGACTTAGCGTGCTTTTGTTTGGAGGCTTTGTTCTGGTTTATCTGAGTTTTTTGTTCCAATAATGTCCCGCAGGCCCACAATAGCTCAACCCCTAGAAAAAACATGAAGGATCCACAACACACAAATGAAAAGGTAATCACGGTAATCACATACAAAACCATTCAAGAACCATAAGTGAAATACACCACAAATACTCTACAAAACAAATGGGTCATGTTGAGTTCTTGTTGCACTTTATGGTTACAACATTAAGAAAGGCAATGGCAACAGCAGCAGTACTGATTGCAGAAGTCTCAGTATTAACAATAATTGCTACAGCAAAACTAGTAGGAGTAGTAGTAACAGCACCCGCAAGGAACGTAATAACTTCAATAGCTAGTAATATGGAATGAGAGGGTTCTGCCCCGAAGATTGCTTGAAAGACTTCAAATTCAGATGCTGTCTCCCTCTCTTGGGATCTTGTTGAATTGAAAGTCACAACCAAGCCCGAAGCCCTAAAACCTAAACCCTTGATTTCTGCTTTATGTTTCTTATTAAAGGAGTCTTGAGTCGGCGGTACTTCTATACGGCGTGCATACACCTTGTGCCTGTGCGCCTTTCAGGCTCAGCCTGGAACACGAAACCCTAAACCTTAACATTGATCTCAGGCGCCAACGTCAGGACTGGCCAGTCAAGCACTGGGACCCAGTGGATATCTGGCTGACCTGCCTTGGGATTGAGGTGGGCCGGGAGGGATATTGGTGCGATCCATGACGGGTCTTGGATGCTGCGCACCCCGAGATGTCACAGGGCTTCGGTCAGTCCAACTGAAGGGGACAAGTACACAGGGCATTCCAGGGTCCTTGAAAAAGGCTAACAGTTCAGTAACATGGCACAACTCATGATTTTCGGAGCGGGGCTTCCACTTTATCCTTGGCTTCATACAGGAACAAACGCAGGCGACTGACACCCATAAGTAAGCATTTTGCAGTGCATGCTGGGAGCCTTCCCTCTTAGAGGGACTCCGTGAACTGTCACCTCAGCAGCTTTTGCATCGCTTCCTTCGTGGCCGCCGAAGCGTAGTTGTCGCACAATACCTCTTCAAGGGGCGTCTTGCCGTTACATTTGAGGAACTTGTTGGCCCCCGCTTTGAGCAAGATCTGGACTACATGACCATAGCCGTTCTTTGCCGCGTGATGCAGCGGAGCCATGCCACCGAATCCGTGTATGTCCGGGTAGGCCCTGGCATCGAGCAGGGCCTGAACTGTGGGGGCATTGCCACTCATGGCTGCACTACTCAGCGCTGAGCGATTGAAATCTATGCAGTCAATCCAAGCCATGTCGGCACCGGCTTTCAGGAGCCCCCGGAGCTCCTCCGCCGATCCATCACGTGCTATATCCTTAAGCTTGCGATTCAGTTTTTCCTGCTCCTCTAGCTTCTGTTTCTCCAATTTCTTCTTCGCCAATCCCTCTTTGAAGTCTTGATCGTTCGGATCGAGGCGCGCAGCTTCCGCATAAAAATAAAACGCCTTCTCGACGTTGCCTTGGGAGCCGTACATTGCAGCCAGGTTGCCGTGGAGCTGGGCGGAATTTGGCATTCCTTCCCGGGCCTGCAGAACGTGTTGAATGGCACCAGGTCTGGACCCCCATTGCCACATCGCCAAACCCAGAAGATAGTTGGCCCAGGGACTCTGTGGGTCAGCCTCGAGTGCCTGGCGACTTTTGGCCATGGCGCCATGAAAGTCGCCCTGTTTGAGAAGATTGTCGGACTCGTTTAGGAGCCTCTGGACCTGCTCCTGAGGGTGCTTCAGCTCGGGCAAGACAGATGGGGCAGGAACGCTCTGTGCTGCGTAGCCGCCAGAGCTGGTTGACGCTTGCCGTTGATCTGGAAACAGCTGAAACCATGACTCTGCTATTTGGCGAGCCACGGCCTTCGGATTCGTCATATTCTCATCCTCTATGCGAACTAAGCTACTGGGAAGAGCCTTGGAGTTCTGCGACATGCCCTTGATGCCACCGTCGCTGTCGGTGGGGGTAGGGGGGTATTCACGACACATCTTCACGGGTATGATGGGAAGCTTATTAACAATGGCATATTTGACCTCTTCAAACGTTTCGTACCCAGCACCAGTTTTGGCACCGTAATCATCGGTGACAAAGGCCACCATGGCCTTTGCCATGAACAGGCCCTCATCCGTCTGGTCACCAAAATTCTCGCCAGGGCCTGCTTGCACCATAAATGTCATAATTTTCCACACGCTGTCCAGCTCAGCCTTGACCGCTTTTATGTAGTTCACTTTCTGCGGGGCATTGAATCGCCCGGACAGCATCAAATGCTGTCTGGGAGGTCTTGGCATGGCACCTTAAAAACTCAAACCTTCTATGTGGAATGCTTGAGCCACTGATGCATGTCCAAGGGTTCAGGGAGTGAGCAACTCACTGGCCTCACAAAACCTCTGGCTTGTTTTCAAGCAAACGAAGAATGTGCTTGGTGCAACAGAAATGTAAGCGGGAAGTTCCAGGAGGCTGACTGTAAAGGTAGATGTCGACTCGGAACTTACTCTTTTCACAGTCAGTTGTACTGCGGCAAAGGTTCCGCTGTCATAATCTGCCTGCATCACCTGCAGTAGCAAACCTGAACAGCTTCAGCGGCTCTGGCCACCAGGAATTTTAGGTGCACACCTACTGCATGACGAAAGGAGACAATGCATTACTGGCTGTACTGCACAGTGCTTGAGCTATTAATGCTATCCGGAGGCATTATCTTGGCTTGAAGCCACTGGTTGAAGTTGGGAATACTTGCGTTGCTATCCAAGTTGCTGGAGCAGAAGAAGTAGTACAACCGGCCCTCGTATTCGAAGGCGTCCTTTCCTTGAAAGGTTTAAGGTTAGTGTCTACGGTTTAACCCTTTGAATGCGAATTATGCAGGAAAAGCTTGAAGCTGACTCACACTGCCATCTTCAATCCTTGTCTAGCTTTGTTGTGGCCAGGAAACTCCATGTGAATGAACCTGCATTGCGCTCTTGTTTCGACAGGAAAACTCCTGCGATTTCATGAGCCCTAGTACGGACACCAATGTCTGTCTGTTTTGGGTACTGTGGAGCCTAATTCGATGCCAACCTCATTTTGAGGTGTCTTTGAGGTACAAGACTGGGACCCATATTTAGTATTAGGCGGGGAGGGTATTTATCGTACAGCCCGAACACAAGAGCGGGGGGTAATAGGATCCTGTTGGATGTCCAATTGACACGTTGCAAAATCGATTCAATCGAAGAAAAACCGGTTTAACTCTAATTAAGACCGCACTAAAATGAAAAAAAGGCGAATTAAACTTCATTTTACAAGAAGTCTTGCAGACAGATTTCAGAATTTGGAATGCGCGAACCCGTATTTTGTAGTAGAGGGCTTAAAATAAAAATTAGGTGGAGGCGATTATAATGCATGAGCTGCAGAGCTACTGCAAGGGCAGAATTTCTTTAGTTTTGAATACAGCAATGCTAGAGCTCCACCATGGACTCGAAGCCTCAAGGGGGCCAGCTACTCCAAGTTGCCAAAGACCTTTCGCGCGGTTAAGGGTTTAGGGCTGAGGGGCTTCAATGTGCGGCGAAAAAGGCTCTAGCTCTTGGGTACATGGGCCCCTTCGGGACTGGCAAATGATTCTCCTTGCAGAACATTCAGAGGAGCCTGGACAAGGCTGCTCTTCATTCGTACTTGTGAACTACGCCAGTTTCTTTGTTGGGGGTTAGTAGGGAATAAGAGAACAGAATCCCTGCAGAATTCCCAAATAACATAGTCCCTACTATTCCCTTACTCCCTTATAACCCTAAACATATTCCCTTATTCCCTACTAGTTTAGAATAGTTAGATGAGGGTTAGGAAACAATTAATATTGTCAGTACAGGCTTCTACTTGAAGCACATCCTGTCGGGGGCATCTAGAGCATTACTTCAGACTTCTAGGTACCCCAGTAGTACCCGTTTCCCCTTTCATTTTGGGGTCTCCTTATTAAAGCTGAACATTAGAAAAAGGGTACGTACCCTGATTATCAAGGGGTTACTGAGGGACTAAACGCTAACAGGCTGAAGGTGTTCTTGAGAAATCTGGGGGCAAGCTGGGGGACCCTGCTCTCGAGTCCAAGCTTATGCATGACCTTGACCTTACTTGGGCTTAAGTGGGCCGCTGCAACATGGTTTTAATATCTATCAGTGGCCTCTGTGCGACACAGCCGCTCCAAATGACCAGGATATTGTGAGGAAAATGTCAAGGTACTCTATTATCTGATGATTGTACTCTTAAGCCCCTACCTTATGCGCTCCTCCTCAAGCCACTGCTAAAGCCCAACTAGTCCTGTTTCCTATTTTATGGAGGGAAGCTTCACGGTACTGCAATGAATCCAATCTAAACTGTCCCTCGGCTCTTGTAGGGAATTGGCGGATGGCTTCTAGGCGCTGGCTAAAGGGCTTGTACAGCAACTATGCTAGGCATCCGTTCAATCAAGCCCTGCGGAGCACCCAGTAGTAACTTCAGCCCAGTTGCCTCAGAAATTCCCCAGCGTCCTGCGCCATACCTGTGCCCTGCTACTCGACGACCCTGTCACTGAAAATGGATGCGGCAGGTTCGTGAATGTATATTGGGTTATGTATATATATTGGGAATATTGGGAGAAAGGAAAAGATGGACACTACTATTTAGGGTTCTCCTTCCATGTTCGCAGTCTGGCGGCATGGGAACAATTCAACCTTTCAGGGATGGTAGCAACAGGGAGTGTGAACCCTAATAGTAGCTTCCATTGTCTTTTCCATTATCCCAATATTGCCCCCAATATACCCCAACCCCCCAATATGTTCCGGGTACGCTAAGGATCCCGCGTAGTGTAGCGCTTGCAACAGGGAACCAAGCCTTCAGATCTATTCCGAGAGCCGCCAACGTGCTTCTGGGCACTCCCCCACTCTCCCTTAGAACCAATACTTACTGGGGGTTAGTAGCGAATAAAGGACCATAATAGTACGTAGGGATTATATTCCCTTACTCGCTACTAACCCCCAGTAAGGGAAGGTTCATATGAGCCATAGTCTAAATTCCGACTATCCCCCTCAATATCCCCTGTAGTAGTCCCCTATATACCCCCCTTTAAGGAGGTTAGACAGTAGGTTCATGAAACACCCAGGATTCCTCATACATGGGGTTTTCCTAAAATTAGGGGTTACTTTTTTTGGGGGCCCCATAAAAAGGATTTTAGTATACCTTTGTCTATACCTGGGTCCCCAGATTTTGGGAAACTACCAAATAGTTTATCTGCAAGGACTGCAGAGAAACAGGCTTCCTGACACCATGATTTTCAGCTCTTTATAGGGGATCATAAAAAGCAACCCTAGCCGTGAACCAAGAAACCCTAAGCCATGTTCAGGACATCCCCGGTGAAGGAGATTTCCAGGTTGAGTGTATGGGAGAAAAAGGAACTACATAATCAACATGTGTGGCCGGATCGAGCCTATGTGGATTTGGCTACCCACCGAAAAAAGTTGAGACTTTCCATAGACCCCTAAACCACAAACCCTAAAGCCTAAACCTTCTTTCTTTAAACTCAACCTCGAATCTCGATCAAACCCTGAACCTCAGGCCGGTAATCAGCTAAGTCTGGGCCCCTACAAGCCTCTAAACCTGGACATCGAACGTTTCGCGCCTAGAAAAGCCGCCTGTTTCACTAGGTTGTGTGGGTCCTGAAAACGGTAATGTGGAAAGCTCAACAGTTGCAGCAAATAGCTACAAATCTTGTAGTCCAAGATTCCTTGTGATTATGGTATTGAGATGTATTGAGTGCCTCAAATAGGCGTCAACATGATATTAACAAAGTTTAGGTTTCTAGAATACATAGATGGCTTTGGGGCGTACCTGTGACTCTTCATACCTAGGGCTTTATGGGTTCTACCTTCTACTCAGGGTTAAGTTCTACTTAGCTGTAGGAAAATCTATACATCTTCAACGCCTTTAGCATAGAAACCCTGTCTTCTCTTTGAGTACGTGATTTTTTTTATAACATGCGGCTAACTAAGCCTCCTACCACGTTGCATCATCGCCATCCTTGTAGAAAACCCAAGCCCAAATGTGCCTCATGCAGGTACCGAGCTTGGAATCGGAGACGCAATGCAAAAGCCTTCTCAGAAAAAAACTGGTGTTGCATACCTGGAAAACATGCACCAGAATTCCCACTCAGATTAACATGGAATCCCCCAAACGACACCTAGGAATGATGGATGTACTTTAGAAAGGTTGCTGTATGAGCTATAGTCTAAACTCCTAGCATCCCCCTTAATAACCCCCATAGTAGTCCCCTCAATGATCCCTTATTATATTCCCCTTTAAGGAGTGTAGACTATAGCTCATATGGGGTTTCATGTCAATTTTGGGGGAGGGTAAGTCTGGAAAGCCAACCCTCAGACCTAAACCCTGAAGGGGTTTAGGGTTTAGGGGTTTATATAGGCTCTACCTGAACCCAAGAAGGATGTAGAATCATGGCCTTTTTGGATGCATGTAGGGGTTTTGGGCTATCATGTCACCTACTTTTGGGGTCTAGGTAAACCCTAAACCCTCAATCCTAAACCCTAAATCAACTCTGAAACCCACGCTCTTTTGCCACCGGATTGTGTGATCTGCGATCGGAAGCTCACCTCTTGGAGGTTGCCTTGTTCATAGGATCCTAAGAACAATCCACAGATTTTAGGGTTTGGGGTTTAGGGTTTTGGGGGGGATGGTGTTAGTGTCTAGGATCTAGGGGGGTTCTAAGGATCATGGGCAAGAGAATGGAAACTACTACAGTGTATTGGGGGTATATGAGCCATCCTTTTGTAGTCCCCTATATAATCCCCTATACAACCCCCTTTAATTAAGGAGTTTAGAGTATAGCTCATGTAGGGATAATGGAAAAGAAAACGGAAGCTACAGTTCATTTGTGTAGGGGGCCCCCCGGCTGAGATCCCCAAATAAAGAGACGAACAAGGCCCGAGAGGGTTTAGGGAATCAGGGTTTAGGAATGGGGGTTCGGGGTTTTAGGGTTTAGGATTAGGGCTTTAGGGTTCAGGATTTAGAGTTTAGGGTTTTTGGGTCTAGGACGGAGGGAACTCTTTAGGGAAATCAAAGCTTCTTAGGGCTTGGCAAGGATAATTTGCTCCGTCAATGTGCGGGGTCACTTGAGACCCCTTAGGATCCTATGACTGGTAAGAACCAAACAAGCACCCTTGCAGTGGGGAGTACCGCAAAAGTTCCAAGTCCTGGTAGCTCTCATGACGCCAATCCGCAGGGGACTACGGATGTTTTCAAGTCTTCCTAGATTCAAACTTGTTCTTGTTCAATGGTGAAA